TAGCTTGATTTCCCACTTAACCAGCTGACCTGAAAACTCAGGTTTATGGTGGACTTATTTCATCGGCTGGCCAGTGGGGACTTTAATAGTGTGATCTTGAAAGCAAGGCCTAAGTCGTCTTGACACTATTATTTGGCCCAAAACTAGCTTCTCCATTTTTGGGTATCTCTCTTCTGCTCATCTCAGGGCTTTGCTGCAAAAATAAACCAATCTTTACATCTTTTGTTCCTCCCTGATCATAGCGACGCTAACTACGAAGTCAAACACAACTAGATATAGAGTCAAAGTCTTTCCCACTATTGGATTGACCAAGATTGGTGGTGTGCTCAAATAATCTTTCAAAGACTGGAATGCCTCCTTACATTGGTTGTCTCATTTAAAGCCTACCTTTAGCACCATGAAGAAGGGCTGAAACTTATCTCTAGCTCGGAAAACAAACTTGTTCAGAGCAACAATTCTCCTTATGAGTTATTGGACTTCTTTGGTGCAAGAGGGACACTTCATCTCAAGAAATGCTTTAATATTTTCTAGGTTTGCCTCAATTCCTCTTTGGTTGACAATAAACCCAAAGAACTTTCCTGCTGACACTCCAAAGTGTATTTGGTTGGGTTTAGCTTCATTCCATACAATTTGAGGATTTGGAAAGCTTCCTTAAGGTATTTGATGTGAAGATCGGTTTGAGGGACTTTAATAGTATATCATTGATATATACCTCCATTGTTGTGCCGATTTGTTCAATGAACATCTTGTTGACTAGTTTTTGATAAGTGGTCCCTGCATTCTTCAAGCTGAAAGGCATGACTTGGTAGTAGAAGGTCATTTGTTTAGTGATGAAGGAAGTCTTCTCCATCTGGACATGTTCAGGATCTTCGTCTGGACTGGTTCTAGCTCTTCTAAAAGAGTAAATCTCGTGTCTACCTTAGCTCTCATATTGAGGTCATCCAGTTGAACAAAATCTCCCTCCTTCTACTTCATAGAGGTCATGTGGCACTCTCTTGCCACCCTTTGACCACGCCAACCCATGTTCAGCGGGGAACTTCATTACTAGGTGATAGGTTGAGGGGATGACCTTGAGAGAATTCAAAGAAAGTCTTCCTAGGATCATATTACAAGTCGAGGGAGCATCAATAACAAGAAACTTCATAGAGATCATGGTCTGGCAGGGAGGGTCTCCAATGGTCAAAACAAGTTGAACAGAGCCTAGTGAAAATACCTTCTCACCAAAGAAATCCACTAGGTGTGATTTGATAGGTTGGAGATGTTCTCTGCTGATGCCCAATTGATCAAATGCACTTGAGAAATAATATTAGTTGAGCTTTCATTATCAACAAGAACTTAGTGGACATTTTTGTTGGCGATAATAGCCTTCACAACCAAGGGGTCATCATGAGGGAGTCGATATCCCTCTAGATCAGCATTTGAGAATGTTATATGTATCCCAAGGTCGGGAGCCTTTTGCATAGTAGTTATCTCAGGGATGTCCTTAGTGTAGCTCTTACGCACATGTGCCTTCCTTACTGAGTTAGATTCACATCCTCCTACGAACCCTCTTGAGATTACTCTGATTTCCCCCATGACTTGCTAGTGTTGTCTATTCTAGGGTTGTTCTTGTTGATTTTTTTCTTGGTTTCCTTCCTCTCGATCCATAAAACGTCTGAGCTTCTCTCTCTAGGTGAGGAATTCAATTTATTTTTTCAACTGGATGCATTCATTGGCGTTATAGTCATGGTCCCTATGGAAGTTGTAGTACTTGTTGTGGTCCCTTTTATCAAGGCCCGTCCTCATTTTGAAGGCCATTTGATATGTTTCTTGTGCTGCACTTGGTGTAACGCTTGTGCTATTGAATTGTTCCGAGGAGTGAATCACCCTGGAGCGAACCTCGGTTGCACATTCAGCTTTGGGAGTCCTAATCAAACCCTCATGTCTCCTATTTTCTTAGGGGATCCATCTTGGTTCCTCTTGGGAGAGCAGTCCCAGTCTCTCTTGGGAGAACAATCCCCATCCCTCCTTTGGCTCGTCTCCATTCGCTCATTTACAAAGTGTTGATGCATTGCGACTAAAGAGATACTTCTGCTATATTGGCATCAAGATTCTTGAAGACAGTGTACAAGAAATCGGATGATTGGAGCCCAAGCCCCGGCTATAAATTCAGTCAAAGCCACCTTATCGTCTAGATTGTCCACCTAAAAGAACTCCTGGTTATATCTTTATACGTAACTTCTAAGGGATTCATTTGATCTCTGTGTAATGTTGAAAAGGTACGAGGTTAGCTTGAGACGAGTCCTTGCACCGATAAAAGTGGGAGATAAATTATTGAGAGAATTCTTTGAAAGAAGAAATATAGGATGGGGGTAGCTGATTGTACCAAACCAATGCAGAACCCTTTAGTGTAATGACGAAGGCTTTGCAACGGATGGAGTCCTGATAATCGTGCAACTCCATTTGGTTCTTGTAGGGGTTAAGATGGTCAAATGGGTCTCATGGTCCGTCGAAGGTCTCAACCTGTGGCATTATGAACTTCACAGGAAAGGAAAATTGCAGGATCTCCGGGGCAAATGAAGATTTTGTTTGATGGACGAAAGCCTCCATCGATATTGGGGCTCGGTTCACGATATCTTTCATGTTCCTGAGTTCGTTTTGAACTTCCTTAATCTTTTCCTCCCAATATCGTTTCAAGGGATCTTAGGGGAGTGGAGGCTGAGGGTTGTGCCTCATCTCCTCCCAAAACCTACTATGAGCCTCATTTTTACGATCTTGCTAGCCTTGATGGCGGTGAATGTTTTTGCCCGATTCACTGTTCTGGTTTCCCTCTGTCACTCCATTGAGAGGCTAAGGGGGAGTAGTGTTGGATTTTGCAAAATCCTTGGTTGTTGAGTAGCGACAAGGGCCATGATCAGCTGGTTTTCCTCAAGAAGGCAAAGCATGACCTGTTAGTAAGTCTATGGCTCCTCTCTCGGAGGTGAATTTGTTGGAGGAGCTGAGGGTGGAGGAACTCGCTGCTTGTTCTCTGAATTATAACTCATACTTCTAGTGAATCCCATCAATCAGTCAAAAAACAGAACTGAATAAAGAATAGAATGACAACCAGTTGTTCCTACAGATGACACCAAACTGATGGTGTTGGAGATTGAGAAGTACAAGATAGGGAGGCTAAAGGTTAAAGAGCTCACCATTTGAAAAACTTGGTTAATCCACTTTAATAAAATTTCTTGCTCTTAGGGTTTGTATGTATTGATTAGGAAGAAAACAATTACAGCTTTTGGTTCACAATCAACCTTTTTGGTGTGCAAAAGTTCATCTCACGTTACAAAGTAAGGATTTGCCTATTTATACTTGTAGGTAGGGTGGTCCTTAAGCAATAATAGGGGTGGTCCTCTAGTTTATTTGGATTTTAGATAGGAATATTTGGTTATTAGAGGCTATATTTCCCTAGACATGACGGGACATTTTTTAAGTTGGTGGCAGTGCTAGCTCTTCCCTGGATCGACCCTAGGGAGCTCATCTCCCTTGATCTTCGGGCGTGGCTCGGTGAAGCCTTATTCAGGTCGGCTGAATCTTAGTCCATGTCATGGACTATAATCTTTGGAGATCCTGAACCTTGATATCATCAGTTTCATTGTACAAAAATAATATTTGAACAAGATACTCCAAATGATTATCATACTATGGCAAGTTTGATTGCAAAATGGATCTGGGTCATCTTATGCCAACAATGGTTAAATTGACAGTAATATATACTTAGAGGTATCACAAAGCAGAATTGATGAAATGCGAGTTAATTGAGCACAAAAAAAAAAACCCTCAATCACTAATTTGTTTGGCATAATTCAAGGCCGCAATATCAAATATTGAGATGATTGGGTGACATGTACAAACAGGGGCCGAGCTACTTAGGTCATTGTAGGAGCAGTTGCCCCCATTCAATTTTAAAGAAATATTACATATTTACTGTAGCAGAAAAATAAATTTTATTTAATTTATTACATTGCCCCCTCTTAAGTCCTTGAAAATTTGCATAATGGGCTTAATCTATTTTCTTTTTGGTAAGTTAGTGGTACATTAACTTCTAATATACTGAAATAAAAATTTTATTTTTAGACTAAATAATAAATCAAATGTGAAACACCCAACTTATATATTAACCCATATATTAACCAAAGATAATACTTTTATTATTTAATATCCTTCCTCTTATTTTTCAAAAACAATTGTATAATTGTCTATCATTCTTTTTTTTTTTTGTTTTAGATTACTAGCTAATAAGTTAGTATCAAACGAATTAATGCAACTAGTAAAATATACTAACTCAAAAGATCAATTTAAATTGTTCCAAAAGATTAATTTCTCAATTACATTAAAAGAAAACTATTGAGAATTCTATGTCCTGAAACTAAACAATAATAGCCGATTCTTGAAATTTAATACAATGTTATTGTGTTCTACTAGTATAAATATAATACCCAATTTACTCATTAATTAATATCCAAGTTTTTGTTATCCAAATTTATCTCAATTAATTAATTTTTCACTCATATTCTTGCCCCCTCTCGGATAGAATTCTAACTCCACCCCTAATGATATGCTAAGTATATGAAATCGTTGATTTAGAGATTCATAGTATATAATGAACAAATAATAAAGGCCAAGATGATTTCGATGATTTAGAGTTGATTAGGAGATCAAAATTTTGTTTGAAAACGGTTGAAATATTTTTATTTTCTAGGAGATCGAATTGAATCAATAATTGAATCAAAACTTCAATATTTTAAAGTGTTTCAGAGCGTTTTGAGATATTTCGAGATATTTTGATATTTTTTCACTACTATTGCGAAATGTTTAGAGTTGTTTGAAAATGTTTTGATATTTTTGGATTAATATTTCACAAATATTTTGAAAATAATTTTTTATTTTTTTATTTGTTTATATTCTATTTTCAAAACATTTTAATGAGGTAGGAGGCATCCGAATTGCGTAAAACTCGTAGTGTAAAGCATAATTTGTCCCACCTGTGAAAGAAATGCGTTAAGAAGGCCCTTTTGGGGGGCATAATCATCGTCGTCCTATCAAAAGAAAATCCAAAATCTCCGCTGTGTGTATGTGTTCAGGCACTAAGCAGAGCACTTTAGAAAGTGAAATCAATGGGGTTTCTTCTCCAACTTCCTTCGTCTCTCTCATTACGAGCGACTTCTCTTGCTATGCGCACAAGACCCACCAGAGCATCATTTTTCCGACACACTTCTCTTAACCAAACACCAATAAACGTGCAGAAATGGGTTGCTGATTTTCGATCCAAATCTTTGAATTTCGCGCTTTCTGGGACTCTTGTTCTTGCATTATCTCTCACCGGTCAGGATCTTCATTACCCAATTATGTGATTTCCCTTATTTTTGGATATTATTGCCTTGTTTTTCCTTAATGTTTACTTGGGTTTAAACTGGTTGAATATGGCTAAATGATGTTGTTTGCATATGGGTTGGATTTACCTTTGCTATTGTCTTCTTCAATCTGTCATTCAAATCCAACTGGAGTATTATTTGTGGGTATAACACATTAATTTGAGTGTTTACAGTTCTCTAAATTCCCACCAAAGCATACTTGATATTTTATTCCCAGATTCAACTTCTGTTCCTGCATTTCATGGTTTCTGTTTTGTTCTGTTTTTTTCCTATATCTGATAGTGGTTTGTCTATGTTGAAGTTTCAACTTATGTGAAAGTTGTAGAAATACCTTATCTGAAATTTAATGTCGAACTACCAAAATTTCCTCTTTTTTTACTTTCCGAAAAAGAAATTTATGGTCAAAACAAACAACATCCATAGATTCGCACATCTCAATTAATTTACTCCAAGACCATGTTATACAAGCAGAGACATTTTCTTCTCTAGTATCAGGCTGCAGACTATAAAGAGAACAAACCAAACTTTGTAGGAGTTGGATTTGCGGAGGGAAAAACTGGGGTCAACAAGCCAGAATTGCTTCCTGAGGAGTTCACTACAGTGATTGATGTTGCAGGGTTCCTCTCCGATGGCCAGGTGAGGTTCTTTATTTTTTCATTTAGTTGTATGTAGGCACTGGGAGGCAATAATTTTTTCACTTATCCTTCGTTTGAGTTTTGAAATGAGAATCTTAGTATACATTTTAATTTTTGAAGTCCAAATGCCCTTTTTGTGGCTTGGAGAAATTTTTAGGCACTCCTATATCTTTCTGTGATCATACAATTAATGGTTTGATCAATTTGTGTAAGCAACCATGGCAGATTCTATTAGGATTTAGGACTAGGATTTCTTGGGGACATATTTATTTATCTCCTTCCAGCAACTGAGCTTTACGTCTTGCATTGTTAAGTAACAATTCAATATTGTAAGAATGTTATTGTTCATGAATACATATTTCTGTCTTTTTCAAAAGTATACCATTGAGTTGTAGCCGCCAAATCTATGTGTTTGATGTGCTCAGGCTGTTAAGCAAGCTTAACCCAGCATAGAGTACACTTTTTTAATAGCTGTAAACAATATCTATTTATTGAGACTTGCTACTTCAAACAGCGATACTTTTAGTCCTACTCATTCTAAAACCCTTACTTCCTAACCTATATCCCTGGATAGAAGCTTTTGTGGTTAGTATCTTTGTGTTGCATGGATGAAGGTCTTCATTGTTTCAATAAAATGGAGGTGTCTTTCCATTTTAGAATGAGGGGGCCATGTGCTAAAATATGCTAATGCTGTATAAATGATCTGCAGGAAAGCAGACTTGTGCAGCAGATTGCTGCTATTGAGAAGGATACTGGATTCAAATTGAGAGTTCTAGCTCAGAACTACCCTGACACACCTGGTGTGCTTGTTGATTTTTAATTTCTTCAAATTATTCAACTATTTGTCTTAATTTTGTGTTTATTTAGTATGAAATTGTTTCCAATCTGTTGCAGGATTAGCAATTAAAGATTTCTGGCAAGTGGATGATAGAACTATCGTCTTCGTTGCTGACCCTACCTTTGGTAAAGGACTCAAATGCTCTCCCCTTCATATTTATTTGCCATAAGTGACTCTTACCTTTGGTATCTTATTGATCAGGAAACATATTAAATTTCAACGTTGGGGCTTTGGTGGATTTAGACATACCACGTAGCTTTTGGAGTCGTCTAGCCGGAAAATATGGAAACATATTTTACTGGAAAGAGAAGGTGGGAGTCGTGGGACTTGTTGCTTTGCAATATGTCTTCTTTTAAAATTTTTTTTTTCTGGTTTACATGAATTTTAAAAAGAAAGTTCATCAAGTGATGTATGAAACAGGGAGAAGATGCATCTATCGAAGCTGCTGTCGTGGCAATATCGAATTGCTTGAGAGAACCAGTTGGCCCAAATAATTGTTCAGATGTAAAATAAAATCACCAGCATGCTGCAAAACTTTGTTTCTTGGCAAGTAACGGACTTGCACCAGGTTTTTTTACAACAAATTATGTACTTTTTTTTCTTTCTAGAGAGCTGTATTGAAAACTAGATTCAGTTATGTTCTTGTAAAAGGGCGGATAAATAGTTAAAAGGATAGAAAGTTAGATGAATAAATAAAATATCATGTTTGATAAAGAAGGAAAGTAGGAAGGATGAAAAAATGGATGAATTAAATTTCTTTCTAACTCACCAAAATCAATTCCTCCAAAATCGGAAGGAAAGTGGATGAAAAGTTAATTATTTGTGTTGAGATGTATCTTATTTGTTTACTAGTTATTACTTGTGGCTGAAGGTACGAAGTAATTAAAAATGGTAAACAATAAACATATTTGTATTCATATTTAAAATTAAATCACAAACATAGAGAAATAATAAAAAAAATTAAGTATCGATTTGTAGTGGGGGGTGAGAGGTGGTGGACGGCAGTGGTGGTGGTAGGAGACAGTGATGGTTGTGGTGGGTGACAATGACCGTGGTGGCGGTGGTGGCAAGGGGTTGCAGTGGTGGTGGCGACAGTGGTGGCAGTGATGGAGGTGTTGGCGATGGTGATGGCGGTGGTGGCAGCGGTGACAATGGTGGTGGTGGCAGTGGCGGGTGGCGGTGGTGATGGTGGTAGTGGTGGCGGCGGGGGTGGCGGTGATGATGGTGGTAGTGGTGGCGACGACGATAGTGATGGTGGTGGTGGTGGCGGCGATAGCGACAACAGTGGTGGTGGCAGTGATGGTGGTTGTGGCAGCGACGACGACGACGCCAGTGGTGGTGGTGGCGATGACGGCACTGACGGTGGTGGCAATGGTGGTGGTGATGGCGATGGTGGCGATAGATATAGTGGTGAGACAATTTCAAATACTATTGTGGCAATAGCGGCGATGGTGGTGGCAATGGCGTTGGTGGCGGCAATAGTGGCAGTGGGGGGTGGTGGTGGTGACGGTGATGGTGGTGGTGGCGGCGGCGATAGCAACAGTAGTGGGGATGACGGTGGTGGTGGCGATGACGGTGATGGTGGCGGCGACGGCGTTGGCGGTGGCAGCAGTGGTGGCGGCGACGACGGCTGTGGTGGTGGTGGCGGCTATGGCAGCAACGACGGCGACGCGGATGGTAGTGGTGGTGGTGGCGACGACGGCGACAACAACGGTGGTAGTGATGGCGATGGTGGCGGTAGATGTAGTGGTGTGGCAATTTCATACATTTTTTTTTTAAGTATTTATGCAAAATAATTTTTAGAAGTACTTTTAAAAAATCACTCTAAACACACCCTTTAGAGACTTATTTTTTCTATTAAATTTAGGTTGTTAATATTAGTCGTTAGATTAATTTTAAAGTAAAATTTAAAACGATCTTAACCATAAATAGCAAAAATTTGTTTATCTTTTGAAATTTGAATTGTAAACTATTTTATTATACATATATATCTTGTTATATATACATATATTATATATACATTAATTTCTTATAAAAATATAATGATAATATATATATTAATTTTTTTTTTTTAAAATTATAATTTTTTTTTTTTTCTATCTTAACTAAAGGTGAAAATTTTTAACTCAATACGATGACACGACTTGAACTCGATACAAAAATAAACAGGTCAATTCGCAATTTGACACGATACAATTAGTTAAATGAGTTAAGTTATATTTGACTAATATTCACAAATCCGTAATGACTTAACATGAATCTGATATGACATGATTCAATTGTCAATCCTAATCTTAGCTAGCACAAAAAAAAAAATAGTAATTTTTATTTTCTATCCATCCAACTAAACACAAATGAAGGAAATTGTATTATTCTTACTTTTCATCCTTGAAGAATAGAAAATATATCTCTCTTATTTTCCATCTTTCCTACCAAACGAGTAAGAAAGTTCAATCTATTCTGTTTTCCTTGGATTTCTGAGTGTTCTTTTATAATTTTTCTTGGATTTCTGAGTTTTCGGTCATAGTAATAAAGTCCTAGGCCTGATCTGTGTCACTCGGGGGGGAAATTGTGGAAAAGAATCTGATATGCTAGCTCACCTAGAAATGTTTACACCAAGTTTGCACTGGAAGATTTGTGTGAGCTTCTTGTCTTGATGATAAGTTTGTGCTCCAGGTTGCTGGTTTTGATGATTAGTTTTTGAACCGGGAGTTGCTATTTCTGCATGGCTAGTTATGGGAATATGATGAAATATCTAGAAATGGTTTTTTTCTCTGGTTACAGGAAAAGCTACTAAATGTTAGAATATATATATCCATTTCCTGTTGTATTTTTCTTCCCTCAATAATTAAGACCCTGAGTTTATAAACCTGTCTCTATCCCTTTAAAAGCTAGGCCTTTTTAGCGTGGAAGGTGGACTATGGGTTTATAATGCCTCTGGCTATCCTGTTAGGTGTTGAGTGGGTGAGCAACTTGTGTGTGTTTGGTCAAGGTAAATAAACAAGGGTAGTTCAGGTAAATAAATAAGCACTACAAAACTTCAACCACACATTAGGACCTAGGTCAATTAACGCAAGGAGCAAGAGCTCAAGCAAAAAAGGTATCACTTTTGGATTGTAATTGGATTGCAATCCAATATAGATCTTGTCAGTGTGTGCATATATAAAACTTTTATAGAGTGTGCATAAAATGTCACATGCATTAAAAGCCAATTCCTTATATGCAGTCTGTTAGAAATAGAGTTAAGTAGATACAAAGTGAGCATCATGACAAAAAAATGCTTTTATGTAGCATTGGTTAGCACATCCGCTACTTGTAAAATGGAGGTTGCAGCCACAGTAGTTCAGTTTTCATACAGCAGCCTCTTGGTAGAATATGTGGTTTCCTGGATTAACGTCCACATCACAAAAGTGATCAACAAAGAATGCATAGCTTCTGAAAAGCAAAATGCAGCAACTATAAAAAAAGGTTCCCAATAAACGCAGATGTTAAGGTCCAGTGTGGGATTGGTCCATACAAGAGTTCATTTAAGGTTCATTTATCCAAAGAATCAAGCTTGAACTAAATTTCAAACTCAACAAATGAGCCAAACTCGAGCAATGAATTTTTAGGCTCGTGAACAAAACAAACACACACACACCCACGCCAACATTTAAGCCGAGCTTGATCTTGAATACATGTCTGAAATCAAGTATAAAAACTTGAACACAAACTCAAGGTTGTTTTATTCGATCAAATGAACCAACTCAAGCTGAGCCGAGCCAGAGTTTGGATACTATACTTGAAGCTCGTCACAATCCTTAACCAATCTAAAATCTTTTTTTGTGAAGGTTTATTTGCACACATACATCTAAATCCATCTCCAATGTTAAATCCATAACACCACCTACTTTAATTCAATAACATAATCAACCAAATAACATCTGGATTCAACATACACTCCTATGAACTTAACCAAACAACATGCAAATGAAGTCACTCAAAAGCATCTCAAACAAGAAGATAACCATTAACTTCGCACTATACCAATTACAGGGAGGGATTACAAAAGGTAATCACACCTATAGATAAATCAAATATGACATCCACAGCAGAAAATGTTCATCTTCATTACAAACATGTGCATCATTCATCATTCTTTATGTTACTAAGGTTTTTAAAGCAGGAGGTGAATTTAGCGACAATCTATTTTCCAATATTGAGTAACAAAATAACAGACACTTCTATTAGTTACTATTACTATGCTTGCCTTGGGCCGGTGTGGTCATTTGATCAAACAGTTCGTGTGCGTTCAAACCCGGTCCCCGGATCTTCATCACTAGGAAAAACCTCAAGACCGGTGACCATTGCAGCGGGTGGACCGCGCCGACACCGCTGCTCCATCTCCTGAACCTTCTCAGGAGTCCCAGAGATTAATGCCTCCACCGATCCGTCCCTCCGGTTCCGAACCCAACCCTTTAACCCCAACTCCGTCGCGTTGTCCACTGTCCAATTCCTATAAAATACCCCCTGCACTGTCCCCTTAATCACAATCCTCACCTGCACAGTGCACACATATATACATACATATACCCAATTTTAGTGAGAGAACGCGAAGATTACAAACTGATGATAAAAGAGATGGTCGGGGCCCATGAGTTTTAAAGTACTAATTTCAGGACTGGGTCGAACAACACAATCTTGACAACTTTCATAAGAAACCCAATTCAAAGTCTTGCCCAAACTGTTTGGAATAATTGCATGAATCCTGTTTTTCAATTTCATAAACGATTCAACTAGATATGAACGTGTTCTACAAAATTTCAGCGAAATCATTATAGAAAAAGATAAAAACACTTCTCAATCTGATAAAGCTATGCTGAAAGAGAGAAGGTAGAGAGAGAATGTGGGGCTTACAGTTTTAGTGCGGTCGGTGGAATCAGGGGGAGAGGCTAAGGAGGACATATGAGGTCGAAGAGCAGGTGTACAAGGTTGGTGCAGAGGAGAAAAAGGAGGATTAGAAAGAAGATTACGATGGCGAATCGAAAGAGAACGAGGACGAATACGAATATCAGGAGGTAGTAAAAGAAGATGACGAAGGGTGATTCGTCGTTTCGGTACACTACAACTATCATATCTTCTTCTTCTTCTTGTGGTTGTTCTCTGCCATAGATTTGGGTGGCTCCGAAATATCTGGGATTTGAGGATGGTTTGCGTCAATGGCGACGCCATTGTAGCGTGAGATTGAAGCTGACTCTCACTGCCAATGGGATTCTGGGAGGTGGCATAAAGAAATTGGAGTAACTATTGAGGGGAGGAAAATTCTACTTGGGCTTGGCGTGTACCCTGATTCAATGTAATTATTGAATTAATAATAAATTTTATGTAACGCTGAAATTTATAATTAATTTAATAATTATGTTAAAATTATATCATTAAAATTTTAAATTAGATTCTTACGAGAAACACTATGTTCATAATGTTATACAGTGCATCTGTCTAATAATAAGTAAATTAAACAAATGTTGTCGTTTTATTCATTAAATTTATGGGGATTTTATTATTTTTTTGTAATAGTTTCTACAAATTTTGGAGAACTTTAACTTTTTTCTATCTCTTTTTTTTTTGGTTAATAACTTTCTTTACTCATCACACATTAGAAATGATAGTGAAGTTGGAATGTCATGTTAGATTAGCCATGAGTTTTGTTTTGGATAAATCACATAAATGGTCCTTGAATTTTAGTCTTTGTTTTAAATTTTAGTATTTATTTTAAATTATACCCTCAACTTTTAATTTTTTTAATTTACCACCTTGACTATTTAAGTCATTTTAATCAACTCGTACGGTTAGATTCAAGTGTTAAGTGGGGATGAAACCCTAATGTAGAGTTATGTAGAGTTGGCAGCCAAAATCTTCCTCCCATTCTCCTCTTGAGTGGATACCTAGACTGTTCATCTCCTTCCCATTGTCCTCCTGACTGCATGCTCTGTATACCTAGTCCCTTAATCTCCCACCCATCGCCTAATGCATTGTAATTCAATTAAACCAAAATGACTTAGTTATTACGGACAACGGGTGTTGTCTTCTATCCAGAATAAGTGTACTGTAAATATTCAGACTCATACTTGTAATTTTTATCTTGTTTTTGGAACAAGTGTACAATTTTGTTTGTTTTTGGAGCCCATGCCCCGAAAATTGGTATATTCAGAATCAAGTGGAGTGCGTTGCATTTTGGATGTTAAGTATTGAACTAATTTTCGTCTTCTTGGTTATTGCCCTTAATTTTTGGGTGTTGAGTAGTGTTGGGTATTGGAGTCATTTTTTTTGAAAATCGGTACATGTTTTTGATTTGTTTTTATGCATTATTTTATTCAGATTTTATTGGGTATAACATCCAAATAATTTATTTGGGTTTCTAAATTGGTCGCATTTATTTTTTATTTTTTTTGAATAGCAATGATAATTTTATTGATATGGAATACCATGAAAAAGAAATGACATTACAAAATCCGAAGCTCTCTCTTGCCAAATAATACAACTCTCAATAAATTGTGCATATTTAGCTAAATTAAAAGCCACTCTATTATCATTTCGTCGAACCATAGTGATTTCATAGTAGCTGAGCCTTTGGAGGTCATATTTGATGTCCACCAGACTCACAACCGAAGTCCTTGTCCATGCCTCTGCCTTTGAAGCTTTAACAGACTTCAAAAAAGTTATCGAATCTCCTTCAAGGATGACCGACTGTGCTATTCGTTGTAAACTTTATGGCTTACTTCATAGTAGTGATGTCCACGCCCAAGGGAGCTCTCCACACCTAATTTTCGTAGCCATCCCAGTCACAAAAATTCTATTGATGTCCCCGATTACAACCCCCACCCTAGCATGCTCGCCACCTGAAAATACCACCCCACAAATATGCAAAATTTAGGGCAGACAAAGACATGGACATCATGAATTCAAGTTGGGTATGTTGTTTGCATCATTGAAGCGGTTTAAGGAAGTTATTAAAAATAATGTCATTTGGAAAGGGAAGGACATAAAGTTTGCTAGAAATGAGACGCATAGGGTACATCCAAGATTCAAGATGAAGACACTATGCGAGTGAAGACATTTAATGATGCATGCACTAACTGTAACTAGTCATGGCATAACAAACATTTAACAACAAAATGGCTATCTGAAAAATACATGCACAAGATTAGATCAACTTCTAAATGAACATTACAATCTTTTAGGGAAGCTCTGGAAAAAGACCATCATGTGGGTGTATCTACAAATGTGGCTTGGAGAGCAAAAGAGGCTGCTCAAAATGTTATTCAAGGCAGTGACAAAGACTAGTACACACAGATATGAGATTATTGTGAAGAAATAAAAAGAACACATCCGGGTTCGACTTTAATTGTTGATTACGAAGAAAACAACCTTGGGAGAGTGAATCAAATGTTCAAAAGATTTTATTTTTTCTTTGGGCCTTTGAAAGAAGGATTTATGCAAGATTGCAGGACATATATTGGCATAGATGGCTACCACTTGTCTTGCCCCTACCCTGGACAACTATTATAGTAGATGTGAGCAATGGACTATGGCTTGTTGCATATGCCATTGTTGAAACAGAAAGCACTAGTTCATAAAAGTGATTTTTAGAGTTGTGTGAAGATAAAAACATGCTGAATAAGATTCACTTAAATTTTATGTTTGACTAACAAAGGTATAATGTTATACCATTTTTTTTTCATGTTATAGCATATAATGTTCTAACTATTTTCCTTTTCACGTATTAGGGACTTTGTAATGTCATGGAGTCACTGCTACCAAATTGTGAACACAGGTATTGTCATAGGCACCTCTATAATAATTTCAAGAAAGTGCATTGAGGAAAAAAGTTGAAAGAGTTGATGTGGGATTGTGCTAAGGCTACAACTGTGGAGTACTTTATGAAGGCAATAGATGAAGTGCAAAAAGAGAATCCTAGTGCTTTTGACAGGTTAATCACATATGTACAACCCTTTAATTGGAGTTTATCACATTCATCTATCATTCCTAATTCTACTCACCTATTCAATAAGTTTGTTTTAGAGGCAAGAGATAAGCCAATAATCATAATGCTAGAGACTATTAGAAACCTGTTGATGGAGAGGATATAGAGAAGGAGGGAGATAATGCTTAGGTTATTTGGTCCTAACTACCCACTAGTTAGAAACAAGTTAGAGAAAATACTCAAAGACTCCATGACTTGTAGGCCTAGGTTTAATGGTTTCATAATTTTCAAGTTTTATGTGCTGATGGGGCTCAATTTAAACATGATAGAACTTGTAGCTGTAGGAAATGGGTTGTTAGTGGAATTCCATGTGCTTATGCTATGTCAGCAATTTACTTTCATGAAATAGACCCTCATTTGTTTGTTCATTACTATTTCAAGAAAGAGATGGATTTGAAGACATATGACCATGTATTGCAACCTATCAATGGAAGTGATTTATGGCCTCCAACATGAAAAATTTCTCAGGATCCACCTATAGCTCATGTGCAACCATGCATATAAAATAAAGCAAGCAAGAAGAGAATTTGATGAGCCTCCAAAAGTTGAAAAATTGGGTAAGAGAAGAGTTAAGATAACATGTAGCAAATGTGGTAACATTGGCCACAACCAAAGAAGTTGCAAAGGGCCAAACAATCTACCAAGGGTGGAGAATCCTACAAAATGCAAAGAAAATGTTTCAACTACTGCTACTAGTAATTGAAGACCTAAATTGCATATGAGTGTCTATTACTTGTGTTGGTTATTTATTTGTTATGATCATGTTTTCCTTCATACTCAATTTTTTATTTCAATGTATGTAAAAAGATTTAAAGCCAATGAACCATCAAGCTCAATCCCAATTCAATCACAGATATCAAGCACAACCGTAGCCTGGTCACAGTTAGCAGCTCAAGGTCATTTTTTTTGTGAGGTCAGGGATATCACAACATCCACAATCTCTTAACCCCAATGTTGGCAAGTCATCCTCATCAGAGGGTTAAAGGGTTGTAACACTCTTATCATTACAAAAAAAAACAAGTAAAGCAATGAGAAAAAAGAAACAGGATGGTGGACATTCAACTCAATAGCTTCACTACTAGCTGCGTATTTTGTGAGGTGGACAAAAAGGATGGTGGACAGTCATACCAAGGGTGAAGAATTATCCGGATGAATGTTCTTTTTTGGAGTTCCTGGAGTTTGTTGTTTTTTGTGGACTTTGTTTTGTATTATAACCCCAGTGATATATTGTAACAACTGGTCAGGTTTTGTCTGAAGCATCATTTTCTGTCTATCTGTTTCAAGCCACTGATTCATCCGGAGCAGAGTAGATAACATTTCTCCATTACTAATAACAAACATATGGTAGACGCTTACTAATAACAAACTCAAAGAAATATACCAACTACATACTTTCAATACTAATTAACATTACATCATTAATAACTTCACAAGCCATTAATATGATACAAGCAATTCCAATTCACATAATAATTTTTTGTCGCCACACAAGATAACTTTCACTCTCAATTTTTTTTTGCCTCATTTCATACTCGGTTTAACTTGACTGTCTAAGCTTGTTGATGCATCTCCACCAAAGCCATTACTAGATAATGGCCACACTAACAACTATGAAATTAGCAATGCAATCTACAAGAAGCACTCTCTTCTTTTCTGCTTGCCCATTTGTTTTTCTGCCACTGAAGATCATTTTATAAGTCTTGGGATAATTTGAATCACACGGGGACACATAGAAGGGTTGTACCAGTTGAAAAACCCGTAGACCCCATTCTATAAGTACACAAACATTTTACTAATGTTAGAATTTTTTAAATTACTTATTTCAATTTCTTGAGATTTTCCATCTAAAATTTGAAACAAATAGTATAGAAAGATGATGAAACTTACCATGGACATGTAGCAAGAGAAGAATCTCCTGCTTGGATTATGATCAATCCAAGAGGTCTTTATTATTGCTCTTCTCCCACAATGACAGTAAACATCTTTGGCTTGGCTGCCCTCTCTCTCTCTCTCTCTCTCTCTCTCTCTCTCAGTGGCAGTCAACTGGATTGAACAGAGCATTAGGAGGAGAATGGGTCTAATAAGCAAAGCACCAGGAGGAATATGGGAGGGAGATTTTGGCACCCAACTAGAAATAACACTTGAAATGTCAAAAATGTCCTCCACTAGCTGCAATGTGCAGTTCACATTAGGATTTCATCCCCAATTAACATCCTAATCTAACAGAAGGCGCTGCTTAAATGATTTAAATAGTTCAGGGGATAAATTAAAAAAA